TTTTTAATTTTTTAAAATATAAATATATAAACATATTTTATTTCAATTATTTTTTAATTTGTAAATTTTAAATATTTTATTTATTTTATTTTTCTTTAAATTATGTAATTAAATAAAAACATTATTTTCTTTTTTCTCTACATTCGTTATCCCAAACAAAATTTATATTAACTTTTTCCTTCCCTTCTCTTCTCTTTTCACTTCTCTTCCCTTTTGTTCCTATTCCTTCTCTCTCTTTTTTTTTTTTTATTAATTTTACCCAAACAAACTGTAACGGACCCAAAATGTGTTGACAAGTCATTACCTTTGGTTATTTTAAATTTGGTAACGGTCATGATCATTTTTAATATTGAAAATATTAATACAATTCTAAAAAACACTCATTGATATCTTTATTGCCTTTTAATCTTAGTGTTTTTCTCTCTCTCTCTTTTTTTTTTTCGAATTGCTTTTACCCTTGTCATTGTATTTTCTCATGGTTTCAAACTTTTGATCGCTATTCTTAATTTTTCTAGAACAACTAGTTCGATTAATTAACACGTTGATGACTCGATATCGTATTTTAATCTTGAACTTGAAATTATTTGATTAAAATAATTTTAATTAACGATTCCACTTCATTTTTGTGTTTAAGAAATTACTCAAAAACCAAAGATGGAGGGAAAAATTGCAAAACAATCTGAGCCTGCTTAGTTCTTTCGTTCACTAATTGTCTTCCCTTCAAAGACGCCTGTTCAAACTGGACTCATTAACTGAAATTTCAGATGAAATTTCTTTCCATTGTAGAAATTAAGTTTGATTAGGACTTTTAGAGTTGATTCAATCTTTGTTTGGAATCAAAGACTTTATGTCCACAAATGAAGCGGACACAGTGTAAGTGAGGGGTTTAATTTTTCTTCTTAGAAAGTAATCATGAAGTTGCCTATCATATAAATCTTTGCTTATAGTCATTCCCGACTTTTCTTTAAGGGACCAAATACAATGATCAAAGATAATGAAACTTCAATAATTTTTTAAAAAGTAATTGATATTCACTCTAATTCGATATATTTTTTGTATTTATTTATTTTATTTATTAAAATACAATATAAGTACAATTAATTTTTATATTCTATATGTATGATTATATTTTAAATTTATTTATCTTTAATTTTAAATAAAATAATAATTTTTTAATAAAATATATCCTATACTATATTGAACCAAAAAATATGCCAGTCAATGTCCTAATTTCTATATATCCTATCATTAATATTAGGGTCATCTTCAATAAATGTATGATCCAGCTTTTGTTCTCAAGTTATTTTTCTTATGGTTTCTATAAAAAAAATCGACATTGATTCCAAAGAAAAGAAAATTTATTAGACCTTGTAATTACTGTTTTTAATTTTTGTAGAATAAAGATGTTAGTGTATCCCACCATTTTTGGCCTAATTGTTTTCTCTTAAATTAAAAGGACTCGGAGA